GTCAACCGAAGGTTGAAACTCAATCATCGATTCTGTGTTTTATAATACAATACCGGCCATTAGAAAATTACCTAAACAAATGATGCGGACAGTGAATTTGTTGCGGAAAAAAATACCATCATTTTTAACTAAATATTGATATCAAATAAGTACGTTAAAATGCTCAAAAAGGAGCGTGGTACCAAAAAAAAATTAGCCTACGGCGGTTGCCTGCGAAGCTAATGGAAATGGTCTCATTATATTACTGCCCCCCCCCCCCCCTGAGAAACCTCCTAACGACGCCCATGCCTAAAGATTCTATAAATCGACGTGAGAAGTATAATTTCCAGATATGGTGCTTATCAGGCTATCAAAGTTGTCAGCCATTTTTGTTTTGTTAGATTCAATGCTCTCGGCTATCTTGGTTGATAACAATGATAACTGTTCAAAGAATGGTTCTACAGTTTTTGAGACAGATTGAGCAATACATTTGATATCGTCTTGACTCACCTGCGCCATTTTTTTCTGAGTGGCAGCATCAGCAACGATTTTTTGATCCTTTGTAGTCTTCGATTTAAGTTCAGCATACTTAGCTTTAAGCGTTTCTAGCTCTTTAGACTTTGCATCAAGTTCTGTTTTTGTTCGTTTTAGTTGTTCTTTAATGTGATTTCTAGAATCGGCCTGATTCTTACATTGTACAGAGCAGTAGATTTTATACCCTTCCAGATTTTTTACTTCTGGCTTTCTTTCCAGACAGCTACGGTGGAAAATGTTTAAGCAGATAACACAACAGTGGTCGGAGAAGGGTTTTTGGCAGCACTTAAACATTTTTATTAATAGAATGTATTCCAGTTGAAGAAATTTAAGTCCAACAATGTGGCAACGTTCCTAAATACTCTTCCAAGTCATCTCAGGTGACCTGTGGAGTAGGTTTCACATTCAATTGAATGGACGCCGAAAGGACATAAGAAAACGCTAATTAACGACGAAATTCAACAGTAAAAGTCAAAACAAAACGAAAATAATCACTTTATGTTATCTATATCCTGTTTGCACCAATTCTCACAATTTTTTTACTATTTATACTATAAAAAAACTTAGATTTTCTGTAAGCAGTTCAGCACATGACACAGCGCGATTCGTGTATTTTGAATAAGATATTAGAATGTCTTTACTGTCGGCCATCTTGCGGACTTTTGTTGGTATTACAAAGCTCCATATTTTCTAAACGAGTGAAGACGATTTTTAAAAACTAAGCAGCATGTATAGGGAATTGAAGGCCATTTTTAATGAGTTATCATTGGGACACTCATTCCCATTTAAAAAATTTAGACGATGACGCCCCCACTTAGGGGCTTGAAGCTTTTTCTATGCTTTTTGCGTGGAAAGTTTTCCCCCAGACCAACATAGTTGACGTGTTTTCGGATTTTGTCAAAAAAATATATTTTTCAGCTTGCAATGCCTTGCGGTACCTACATTTTCGATGGGCCACCCTGCACATTGGTTAAGTTAAGCTGGTGTCTCGAGCATCCGCTATCCGATGGTATCTACCATATTGTTTCTATTGGCCTAATTGAAGGTTTCTTATTAGTCGGAAAATTCAGGCATTTTTGAAACCATTTGCATTTTCATGCATCCGTGATCCGATAATTTGAAACTACGAAAGCTGTCTTATCCTATCCTCATTCTTGTCAATGTTATCGTGTTCGCGATTTTATTTAACTTGTTCTGAGTTTTGTCGATTCGTTGTTGGTGATCTACAAGATTCTTTTATTACAAACTAGGTTCAATGTACTTGCAATTGATTTATAGAAATTTCAATTTCAAAAGTCAGACTATCCATAATATTCCAGAAGGTTTAAAAACTGGGTTTTAAAAATATTTAAATGTGTAGTTCTATGCCCTTTCTATTCGATACTGTAACAAATTCCGGGTCACCAAAACTCATTTTAACAACAATAACAGCTTTTATTGAACAAATTGGCTTTATAAAAATGTATACCTATCAGTTATCGCTTACCTATCGTTTTTATCAAACTGTACACAACAAATCTCGTGAGTCAGTTTGCAGTCAATCAAACTGACTCACTACGCGCTAAGTATAGATGACACGATATTGTACTCGGAATTTCTTTGGAAGAACTTGTTTTCCCAATACAATAGAATTCGTCAAAACCCGTCCTAAATGTAAACATGTTCTGTTGTATAAGCAACTCTCTGAATAGTCGCGCAAGAGTTAGACGTAAACAACTGGTTTCTCAGAATCTGGCAGGAATCTCGATGCATTTTGTAACACTGCAACTCTTTCAAATTAGATCAATTCAATGCAACCATCTTCTCTTCTACGTCTATACCTCCACTCAGATCCATAATGATTCCCTCTTTTGATGTGTTCAACATCTATATGTCAGTCTACGTCGACTGTGACCTGAACGGAGCGCCTACCGCTCGGCTATTCTGTCTTCCATGTCTACCCTCACGCCTGAGTGGTTCTTCTTTCCATGCTGTTAGCTGCCTTGTCTCTGCCTTAGCCGATGGTCGTAGCAATTGTAGTATTCCCCTTCGTGGAAACTATAGAGCGGCTTTTTGAAAGATAATTTTCTGTATTCCACCAATCATCTTCTTCATGGTTTTTCTCTCCTTCGCTTGCCGGAATTTTCTAATCTCTATTTTATTAGTTATCTATTGCTGGTTGGCCTAATGCTCAATAATGATTCGATGTCCCTCTCTCCCAATTGATCACTTGCCAGTTCTGAGGCAGTTATTGCCTCGACCTGGTCACTTGAATTTGGGATTTGGCTGTTTTGAGTCCAACTGGTGGATGTTCTGAGTATGTTTCTTGTAATTTACCAACAGCAAGTCAAGCAGAGACCGTTAGGTTCGTCTTATTTTGGTTGGAAAAGTAACAAGTTGAAACGCATTTATTTTCTTGTAGGAAGTTATGAAATTTGAGCTACTCACATGGATTAGTGGGGGGAATAAATCTCATACAAATTATTGAATACATACTGGAATACAGGGTGAATCTGAAAGTGAGGGTTTTTTTTTTAACAGGGTATATATCTCGCCAAAATAAGTTGTTTGGCAAAAAAATGTTTATATAAAAAATTTAGGATAACGGAGGTACAGGTATTTTAGGGGTTTGTACATTAAAAATCTAATTTCGATAATCTAAAATTTATTAGAGAAAATATGATAATAATCAACACAAAAATTGTTCAAAATTATACCTCTGTAGACTTAAACCCCCCCCCCCCCCCAAATTAAAATTTTTGACTCTTTTCACTCTCAATCGTTTGATAGTGATTGATAGTCCTGAGAGATCGTTTGATAGCGATTTTTTCTAGAGTTGATCATCAATTCTTTTTTATGTGTATTGTCAGCCCCCCTACTTTTTCAAAAATTATATATTTTTTTAAATGATTTGGCATGGCATGACGGTGCGAGGTTTGATAGTTTAATATCAACGTTTGATAGTTGGTCTTGAATCAGCATTCATTATTATTATCAAGATAATTTCTAATAATTGCATTTTGGTCTACATTTAATTATTTATAGGTGGAGCTCGAGAGACCGTTGCCAAAGCTATCGTAATGCGTGCTAGTCTTTGTATGTTGGCATTTTAGGCGAAAAGAGCTAATCCAAACTAACCTGTCCTTAAAGTTCTAATATTTTTATGTTGGTATTTTAGACGAAAAAGGCTAATCTAAACTAACCCGTCCGCATTTTTGTATCGAGCGTCCAGTAACCCGCATTCGGGGTACCCGACCTCGGCACGTATCAAGCGCACGGTAGTACGAAAATCACTCGGACTACCGTACGCTCGATACTCGCGACTCGCGCCTACAGTCTAGAATATCTTTTTGAGTTTCCCTGGCTCCTCACCATCAAGCTACTTGATAATATTAGTTTAATTTTGGTTCTGGTAGTCAAATCGTAAAGCAATTTCAATTCTAGTAGTTCACTAAGTGGAATGGAAAGTAGCAAAAAACTTAAGGATAAATAAGATTTTGCTATTTGCCTAGTTATTTGATGCTGTCTCTAACAAACTATCCCAAACTAACCCTAAGGCTGTCCTTACCTTAACCTTTTGCTCAGCTCCAATTTGGGTTAGTTTTGGTTAGTTTTGTTACTTAGAGACAGCATCATAAATAATTATTTGCATCTGCCTGAATCTAATCTCCGCATTTGTCAAATAACAAGATTTTACTATTTACTTAGGGATTTGTATACCTGCAATCGTTAATTTTTACCTGCATTAAAAATTCGATTTTTGAACATATTTCAAAAAATAGGCGTTTTTTTTTGGAGAAAAAAAAATATACAGATGATAATGTCATTGGAAGAATGGCTAACACAATAATTCAAAAATGTTTTCGAAAAAACGTGAAAGTGGCCTATTCTATCTCGCCATGGTATTCTATTCATGGTAAGGTTATGTAGATAAAACATAATTTTGCTCTTACTTATTCACTTACCTCGACTTCCTGCTTAGTTTTAAAATTAGTTCGTATTTCACTGGAATCGACAATGTGGTGCATATAATTTTCTGGCCAGTGCATAATAAATGATAAACAATCTTTTAAAAAAAACTGAATTGTTGGACGCCGATCCATAATTTCGCAGATAAGACTAGATACTCATACTAGTATCAAGCGTACAGCGTACGGTAGCTTGACAATCGATCGGGAAATCAGACGCTCGTTATGAGACAGACCTCGGTTAATACGACGTTACCCGAATGCGGTATACTGGCCGCTCGATACAAAAATGCAACCCGTCCTCCTAATGAATGACAGTCTTTGTAAGTCGACATTTTAGATGAAAAGAGCTTATCTAAACTGTCTATTTTTTCTTTTTAAGGTAGAAAGAAGAGAAAAAAAAGTTAATATCAGCGGGAACAATGGACCAAAAGCTTAAGGTATCTGATTTATTGTCTTTGACTCAGATTTTGTGATTTTCTTTTGCATTATCTAATACTACATAAAAAATTGCACTAAAAAAATAGAAGAAAAACTTACATGGTAGGGTTGTTGATCAGTTTTCGGAAAATTTGTCGAAGTTCTTGAATTTCCTGAATCACTGTCAGTGATCTTGTTGTCTTCCAGACCTTTCATTTTATCAGCAGCAGCAGCAGCAGCAGGATTTTTTTTTGGATATAAATTATGACCTGGTAGTGGGGGAGGAGGCATAGTATAATGGAAAGTACCTCGATAATTGACTTCATACCTAAAAAAATTAACGTAGGTACATATCGCTAGTTATCACCTTTATTAAAGTTTTCAGAGGGGTGAGTCTGGAAAGTAGGCGGTTGAAAAGGGTGAGATAGTTTTTGGTTGAAAATTATTTGTCCCCCTAAAAATTATTGGCAAGGAATTTCCCTATAAAAAAAATCCATTGTAAGAGGGGGTAAATGTGTCCTTTATTCAGAAAACGGTCGCACATTCTTATAGAGGCAAAGCCAAGACATCCATGCTCAGCATAGATTAGACCCCAAAAAAACGAGATTCATTTGACATGAGCTGGACTGGTCTAAATACAAAATTGTCTGTAAAGGGTATGTTATAATGATGATAAGCCACTTGAATAATCCCTTGAAATTTTTAAAAATCATATGGTCTTCAACAAACATTATCTAAGTAGAAACGCTCCCAAGTTAAGTATTTGGTTTATTTATTTAACTTTGTTCTTGATATATAGAAGAACATACCGCCTGGCAAGTCAACATCTTACAGGCCAATTTTAATGTGATAGAATAAAATGTCTAGAAAAAGTCTAAGGTTAAATAGAGAACGAAAACGATTTCCCCTGTTCCACCTCAAGGCGGCTAGGGTGAGCAAAAACTTGATTGTCGCCGCTGTAGTGGAAACTAAACCACTACAGTTTTGTTGAGGTCTGAAACTGCAGCTGGAATGTGATAGAAACTACATTCGGTGTATGATCTGAACTCAAATGAAACCTTGTCTTTGGTGCAGAAGCAGTTTTTCGATTTCAAGTAGAATAGATCTGTGTCAGTTGCAGGACATATTGCACAATTGGAGCAGATGAGCAAACGCTTGAAAAAGCTAGGAGGTACTATGCCGAATTCTATGCTACTTACTAGAATTTTGTCTATTTTTCGCAAGGAGTACCAACATTTTCATATTGCTTGTGACTCAACTGATGCAACTCTTCGTACGGGTGTTTTAAGGAAAGAGACGATAATATTATGTTCAAAGTGCAAAGTTGATGAAAAATTAAAACAGAGCTCGTCAAAGAAGGTAGCTGCTTGTTATACATGCGGATTTAAGGTTAATGGGCAGAGCAGAAGTCGATCTCTGCAGATTCTGCTCAGACGGAATAGAGACCGCAGAGCACCTACTCTGCGAATGTCCAGCCCAATTCTGCAAGAGGCTCAAATTCCTCGATGGGGCAACACTGTCACCAGAAAAAGTGGGCCAACTGACACCCAGGAAAATAGCTTCCTTCGGCAGAAATGTACGCTTCCTGGAGACAACTTAAGATGTAGAGTCACATACAAAATATCTGCAAAAGTAGCAGTGCTGAGCGGCTGAAGAGCCGAAGCTACAAATCGATTCCGCTTGAGTTTGGCGGGAAGTGGATCATAGATTCAGGAGTGTCAGATCTATGACCAACAAACGTAGTGTATTTCAAAAATTCATGGTCTTCAAATAACTAACAGTGATCAAAGATGGAGATGGCGAAGTGATCAATGCAGTGGGAAGAGGAATAGTTGCTCAAAAGCAGAAACATTATTTGTTTCTTGGGGTCATGAAAGCTTGTTGCTTCATTAATCATAAAATTAACCTTCATATTCGAACAGGAAATTCTGATTTCATCCTTGAAACGAAATTATGCCAGCAGAACATGAGATGAATAAAAAAAAATTATATAGTTGTTAGGGTTTTAACCTCTAGGTATATTTCTGTCATTTCTGATAATAGATACTCACTGGAATGTTGCATTGTAACCATTGGTCGACACTGTATATCCGTCATCATCGTTAGATTGATAAGTTTTTTCCACAATATTCTCTCCCCAATATTTAGTATATGGAGCTGAATTATCAACAGGCACTGGGTGGGGAACTGGTGGTAAGTTTTGGTATGGTACTACTGGTAAGTCTTGTTGTGGTAATGGTGGTACATATCCAGGAGGTGGTTGATTAAAGTGCCATTGCTCACTCATTATTTATCATGAACCTAAAAATTAAGTCACTCATAATTTTTTTTATTGTGGATTGGTTTACAAGAGGTATTAGCCAAATTCTGAGGAAGATACACGACCTTTATAGGCTACCCTATGATAAATTTTTAGGTAAAATTGAACAATAATTAGACCTTTCATTTCCGATTGCATTTAATAAAATATTGTCAAAGGTAAAAAAATTTGAATCACGCGGTTTTGCTGATGATTGAAATTATATTCTGAAATTTCATCACTCAACTGTGCAGTACTTTAAAAATAACTATCCGATGTGGCTCAATTATTTTGTGAAAATAGTTTTAATTTGAACTTAGATAATAAATGTTTATGCATGTCATTCACACATAATAAAAAACCTATCGTAACTGATAATTCTGTAGGTAATGGAAAATTAAATAGAGCAAAAATATATGGGGGTATTTTTGATCCTGCTTTGTCTTTCTCAGGACATTCTCTTGTCCAAAATTTCTAGTGCTCAGAAAGTAAGGTTTCATTACAAGAAACACAAAATGTTCTAATATTGATATTAGTTTATTTATGTTTGACAGTCTGGTTTCACCCATCCTCCAAGATCTATAAGAGCCATCTCTGTTCATTTCCAGTTCAGAGAGCGATTTTTCAATGTCAGAGGCAGTTTTCTGAAATTGAATAATTGCACTACAGTTAGTTATATGAGTGTACAGTGATTGAGCAAAGAGGTTAGGTATGTCACAACCATTATCAGCTTTTTTTGTGCCAAAATACGTTTCTTTATGATTGAAACCATTATTTGACTGCCAACGAACAAAAGTTCCAAAAGGACCCGGCGTATGTTGCGAACTTGAATTTGTTAAACAAGCTGTTTTTGAAAAATTTGATTTCTTAAATCTTATTGACTGTAGGTATCAATGGACAATGCGGGATGGTATAGATCATAATTCCCTTAACCAATAGATTCTACAATTAAATTTAGGTCAAAGTTTGCAAAAAGGAGATCCAAGAGTTATTCTCATTAAGTATATAACCAAATTGAGATAAAATTCGAATTATGAAAAATATTTCGGAAAATCTTCTCAACATTGTGGTGGAATATAAAACAGAGAGTGTTTATTCGATGCACCAACTGTTAATAACTCATACTATGACTACTATGAGCACAGATTACCTACATACAGATGCGAAAGACCAGCGAATTCGTGGTTCAAGATTAATTTAATAAACATAGGCTGACCGCACCAATGCCACGTCAATGTATCTTGAACATATTTATTATATAAATGCGGAAGCTCAATAATATAATATTATTTCTTTAATTGGTTCACAAACAGCAAAAAAATATTTTTTTCTACCCGCAAAAATATGTAAACACACAGGCTGGAACATGCTCATGCAGTCGACCACGTTAAAGGCTCTCTCAAACCAACGCGAATTATTCGCAGCGAATTTCATTGCGGATTCCGGAGAAAGTCTCACACCAAAGCGAACATAATCGCATCATTTACGTCATATTTTCAGTAACCAATTTGCTTTTTTTATTATTAAAAACAATATAAATGAATGGCCCTGCGTGCACTATACAGAGTGTAAAAAAAGTCTGGAATATTGCTAATATCTTGAAAACGGCTGATTATTTTTCACTTAAAATTGGTATGCTTCTGTAACGAATAGCTCCGGATCATTCAGGTGTCAAATCGCTTATGTAAGAATACAGGGTGAGTCAATAAAAATGCAAACTTTTTTATTTTAAATGACGCACCCTGTAAATTTTTACGGATATTGACAGATCTTTGCAAGACGAATTCACTAATATGGGATTTAGGGGTCTTATCTGTCAAAGTGACGGAACAAGTGAAAAAACAAATTCAAACTGTTTATTGTTATAAACACTGAAAATAATTACAACAAATGTTCGAAATGAGTTCCATTACTAGCTAGGCAATAACCTGTCATTTAACTCATGGAGAACATTGCCGAAGATCTCAACTAAATAGATCGAATTTCACCCAGAAGATTCCACCAAGAATAGATCGAATTTCACCCAGTATTCTATTCTTAAGGTCATTAAGATCTAAAGGTCTACTTTCATGCACGTTGGTTTTTAAATGCCCCTACAGGAAAAAATCGAAGGGGATGAGGTCCGATAATCTCGCTGTCTATTCATTTTCACCTCCTCGTCCTACTTTGGAAACTCTTCATCAAGAACAAGAAATTTCCGGACTTGTACACCAAAATGCGTTGGTGCACCATCTTGCTGGAACTAAGTATTCTGCCTGTTTGGAGTCAGCATATTTGAACTAGGAATAACCTTATCTTGTAGTGATCGTAAGTATTTGTCCGAAGTTAAATTTCTCTCTATGAAGAACGGTACTATTACATTATGGCCAACAATATCTGCCCCCACGTTTACTTTCTGAGGGCGCTGAGTATGTACTTGCTCCATCAGTGAGGATTAGTAGTAGATCAGAATCTGCAGTTGTGCCTATTCACAGAACTGAGCATAAGCAGCTCCGTCAGAAAAATGGATTTTATTTGCAAAGAAGGGGTCAATAGTCACGTTCAGCCGAACTTAACATGTTGAGTGATTAGTCAGCGGCTTTGTTGAAAACAGATGAAAATCAGCTCCTGGCCAATCAAAACTGTTATACTTTGTGTATTTCACTTGTTGGAACAAAGCCGCTACCTAATCATTCAACATGTTGAGTTCGGCTGAACGTGACCAAGTTACAACGCTCCATAAGAATTTCGCAAAACTCTGACCGTCTGTCGAAGTCATCTTCCTTGAGCTCCTGAACAAGGTAAACTTTATAAGGACGATTTTTTTGTTTATGTACCTAGTGAATCGTACACTGACTTATGGCTGATACCCTGTTGCAATCCTAGCCGACGTGTTGATTACCACTTTCGGTCTGCCAGTGCGCGACAAATTTTTAATGCTACCGGTATCGTCGAAACGTCTTAAGCCGGAGTCTCATGCATCCGTCATCTGATGGCCCGATGATCCGAAATTGTTAGTATTGGTTGAATTTACGGCTTCTGATTGGTTTGCCTTTTCGAACCAATCAGAAGCCGTAAATTCAACAAATAGTAACAATTTCGGATCATCGGACCATAGGATGACGGATGCATGAGAGTCCGGCCTTATTACTTTGCTTACACAGGACTGCGTAAGGAGGTTTCGGCTTGGGTAAAGATCGTTAAATAATTTGCATACTTTCAGTTGAGTCCTTTTCCTGTCTCCATAACCAACCAACATAAAAATTTGATTTTTTTCTCTCTCACTTAAACCAGGCATAACGGTTTATTATTTAACTTCAACGTCAAAATCATAGAAGGTTTAGTCAAAATGATAAAATGATTGGTTGAATAATCATTCTGTCAATTTGACGTTGAAGTTAAATAATATTTAGTTTGAATTTTTCCATCAATTTTGAAGATTTCAGTGTGTTCATTATGCCTGGTTTAAGTGAGAGAGAAAAAAATCAAATTCTTATGATGGTTGGTTATGGAGACAGGAAAAGGACTCAACTGGAAGTATGCAATTTATTTAGCGATCTTTACCCAAACCGAAACCCCATTACGCAGTCATGTGTAAGCAAAGTAATAAGACGTTTCAACGATACCGGTAGCATTAAAAACTTGTCGCGCACTGGCAGACCGAAAGTGGCGACGGACGGTGATAAAGCACTAAATGTTTTATTAGATATTGCAGAAAATCCTAGGCAATCAACACGTCGGCTAGGATTGCAACATGGTATCAGCCACAAGTCAGTGTACAATTTACTACATGAACAAAAAAATCGTCCCTATAAAGTCCACCTTGTTCAGGAGCTCGACGAAGATGACTTCGACAGACGGTCAGAGTTTTGCGAAATTCTTATGGAGCGTTGTAACACTGACCCCTTCCTTGCAAATAAAATTATTTTTTCTGACGAAGCTACTTTTATGCTAAACGGTTCTGTAAATAGGCACAACTGTAGATTCTGGTCTACTACCAATCCTCACTGGATGGAGCAAGTACATACTCAGCGCCCTCAAAAACTAAACGTATGGGCAGGTATTATTGGCCATAATGTTATAGGACCATTCTTTATAGAGGGAAATTTAACTTCGGATAAATACTTCCGATTATTGCAAGACAATATTATTCCTAGTTTAAATGTGCTGTATCCAAACAGAGAGCATATTTGGTTTCAGCAAGATGGTGCATCAGCGCATTTTGGTGTACAAGTCCGGCAATTTCTTGATGAGGAGTTTCCAAATCGATGGATAGGACGACGAGGTGAAATTGAATCGCCAGCGAGATCACCGGACCTCACACCCCTGGATTTTTTCCTGTGGGGGCATTTAAAAACAAACGTCTACGAAAGTAGACCATTAGATCTTAACGACCTTAGAGATAGAATACTTGGTGAAAGTCGATCTATACCAGGTGAAATCTTCGGTAATGTTATCCAGGAGTTTAAGGACAGGTTAGGTTATTGCCTAGCCAATAATGGAGCTCATTTCGAACATTTATTGTGATTATTTTTAGTGTTTATAACAATAAACAGTTTGAATTAGTTTTTTTACTTGTTCCGTCACTTTGACAGATAAGATCCCTAAACCCCATATTAGTGAATTTGTCTTGCAAAGATCTATCGATAGCCGTAAAAATTTACAGGGTGTGTCATTTAAAATAAAAAAGTTTGCATTTTTATTGACTCACCCTGTATTCTTACATAAGCGATTTCACACTTGAATGATCCGGAGTTATTCGTTACAGAGGCATACCCGAGGGCATACCAATTTTAAGAAAAAAATATTTAGCCGTTTTTAAGATATCACCAATATTCCAGACTTTTTTTACACCCTGTATATAATATTGTTAAAATTTTTACTAAAATATTTAATGATTATTTCCATGACCATCAATAAATAATGTAATAAGAGCTGTCTAATAAGTTTCAAATCATCATTTTCGCCTAGTTCTTCTCCTAGTTTAATCCAAACCTTATCCTTTCTGCGCACATTTTTATAA